GCAGCCAGGGAAGTCCCTGGGCTTGGCCGCGCTGGCTGGGGAGAGGGACTGCGCTTAAAGGCGCCGCCTCCTGCAGTCTTCCAGGTCGTAGACTCCATGGACTGAAACTGTCCAGTAGAGGGGACTCACCCGGAGGCCTCACCTGGTAATTGTTTTTAGTTTTTATTAATCTACTGTCAGCTCTTAGGAGTGCATCACTGACCAGGAAGAGCTTTGAAAGCTGGCTGGCTCCAGCTGACATACCTGCATCCTCTTTTTTCTGCGGGCACCCAGAGCAGTTTCTACGCCTGTGTCTGCCTCTGATGCCCCTCCCCAGCCAGCTTTGGGCTACAGTTTCCACTCTGTTAAGGGGAGGGGGGGGAGCCAAGCCAATTAACTACCTGAAAGATGCTTGATGAAACCTGTTCTTTCGTCTCCCACCCCTGTACTTCCGTTCGCTTCATCCTGAGAAGGAAGGAGATGGGGCCCACGGCTCTGACCACGACTTGTTCCTCACAGGCCTGCCATGCTTGGGCGGAGGGGTTGACTACGGTGACCGCCAACTTCTTTCTGTTTCATCTTCCCCAGGCTCTCAGCGCCTTTCCCTCCACAGCGCCTTTCATGACCTGTAACTTCTCTGTTTCTTTAGTTATTTGTTGAGTGTCTTCCCACCAGAGAGAACCTTCTTAAGGTTAGGGAGCTAGCTTAATTCACCGTGAACCCTTAGTTCCTGGCTCACTGCAGCTAACAGTAACTGTTGGTTGGATAAGTGAATAAAGGCAAGCACCTACTGCACTCCCCCTTCCCTCGCCTGCAGCTTGGCTGTCCTGCAGACATCTCAAATTCAGTGTCCTTGAATCTGAACTTATTCTATCTAAATCTGGGTTTCTTACCTCCAGATACCCACAAATCCTCCCTTTTCTGCACTTGTTTCCTTCTGCCATTTTTTTTTTTTACATCTACAGCACCTAGTCTTCCTAGGTGGTCTCCCATCCAAGTACTAACCAGGCGCGACTCTGCTTAGCTTCTGCAATCAGATGAGATCCGGTGTGTTCAGGGTAGCGCGGCTGTAGACCCTTCTGCCAGTTACTTCATGCCCTTCTTCTTCCTAAATCTCTCTCAGATTATTAACTTCTCTCTGTCACCCACTCCTGCCTTTGTCCAGGCTACCATGATCTCTGCGATGACTGCCACTGCCTCCCGGCTTCCTGCATCATTTCCAAACAGTTCCCCAAATACAGGACCCCTTTGCACATGGCGTTCCTTCTGCATGGAACACCTCGACGCTTCTCCACTCGTGCTCTGTGAGACGGCACCGCAATTTCTCAGAGAAGCCTGTCCTGACTTCCAAACAGCAGGGTCACCCAGGGCTTTGGAGTCAAACCTGGATCCAAATCCCAGCTGCCAGTGTGGCCAAGTCGTGGCTGGCTGAGTCTTATTCCTGTAGACTGGGAGGGGGCAGCAGCTCTCCGGGAGTCTGGTGCCCCAGCTTCTCTCACCTCAGCTTGTTTCTGCTCCCTGGACAACAGGAACACCTGGAAACTGGGGCAGCAGAGGCTCCGGGCCCTTAAGGCATAAGGTCCAATTCTGCCTGCCTCTAGCTCATGTTCCAGAAAGACAGGTCTTCGCTCATGCTGATCTCGCCCCGCTTCTCCCCTGCCGCTACCCAGACACCATTTTCCATGAAGCCTTTCCACTCACTCACTCTCTCACTCCAGGCTGCGGCTGCCGCCAAAACCCAGATTCTGGTCCTTCGTGGACTCGGGGATATGGACATGTTTGTAAACCGAAGACAGAGGCCATTCACTTAGACGCTGCTGAGGTGTCTTCAGCACCAGGCACCACAGACCTCCCGGCAGAGAAGGACTAGCAGGCAGACTGAACACGGACACAGATAACGCCCATGTAAAGTAGAGCAGGTTGCCATTGGTTAGACTGTCACCACTTTCTCACGTGTCCCTCTGGAGAGAGTCTATGTATATGCAAACATACTGTGACACATAAGATAATGGTCTCTACCTTCCAAACCTCGCTTGCTGACTTCGCAACGTGTCTTGGTGGCTATTACGTATCTGTACACAAAGACCAGCCTCATGCTTTGTAGTAGTTAAATTATATTTCCTTATATCCACATATCATTATTTATTTAACCGCTCCTGCTTAAGTCACCAGGGGGTTGGGTCGTTTCCAGTTTGCCGAGACATCGCGTCCACACGGCGTTTGTCCCCATGCAAGGGTCACTACAGGATCACGTCCTAGAATTGGAATTGCTGTGTCAGCTACTCTTGTAGTGTTTTTTTTTTTTTCTTTTATTATTTTAGTTTTTGGTAAGTTTCAATCGAAGCATAGCATAAATACAGGAAAGTGCACAACTCAGCGAATTTTCACAAGGCAAACACACTGGGGTCACCAGCACCCAGATCAAGAAACAGAATGTTAGTAGTATCCGGAAGCCCCGTCCCTGCTGCCCGTCCGGGATGACCCTCATCATGGCTTCTGACACCAAGCATCACTTTTGCCTGCGTTGAACCTGTACAAAGAGCATTACATAGGAAGTTGTTCTCTTTTGAGTCCTCCGCGTCGTTGCATCTAGTTGGGGTTCCTTTGTTCTCGTTGCTGTGGAACACAGTGGACCGGCCGATCAGAGCATTACATAGGAAGTTGTTCTCTTTTGAGTCCGCCGCGTCGTTCATCTAGTTGGGATTCCTTTGTTCTCGTTGCTGTGGAACACAGTGGACTGGCAGATTCCTCTGCTGGTGGCCATCAGCGTTGTTGTTTTCAGTCTGGGGCTGTTATGAATAATGAAGCTGCTATGACAATTCGGATATGTGGGGATGTGCATTTTTAACTTAGAAAAAATAGTCGAATCGCCCTCCAAATGTGCTTTTGTGCTCATTTATCCTGCCAGCAATGCGTCGTAAAGCCAGTACCCTATGTCTTCACTAACGCAGGCCTTCTTGAATCTTCTGACTTTTACCAAGCTAAGTGGAAAAAGTGAGAATTCATGATATTATTGTGTATTCCTTTGACGGAGTTTACTTGAGAGTTTTCGTATATGTAAAAGCCATCTTGATTTCTTTTTTCCGTGAACTTTGGAAGGCATTTTAAACGACAGTACAGAAACCCGGAGCGTGTTTATCTGCTGAAGGGAAAGGGTCAGTGGAGAAAAATGACGCAAGAGAGAGGGAGGGAGGGGCCGCTGGAGGGAAGGGGTCGGGAAGTGCGGGCTGGGGGTGGGGGGACTGGTGAGGCACGCGCGGGAGGAAGGACAGGCAGGAAGGGAAGATGGCTGCGGCTCCAGAAGATTCTGGGACAAGAGAGGAGGCCAGGGTGCTCACATGTGACATTGGAGGATAAGCTCTCCGCTGGGGAAGGTGCCCTGGCGAGGTGAGAAGGGTTTGGAGTAGAGAAACATGTTAAGGACTCAGCCAGAGACGGTGACAGCGACTGTCTGCTGCACCGAAGACCTAGCCAGAGTGTTGGCGTGACGCTGAACAGAGCGTTGCGTTCTTGTCCTAGCTCTTGGTATTAAAGTGCCGGGTCACCTGGGGCAGGTCTCGTCATCATCTCTGAGCCTCAATTTTCTGACCTGCAAAGTGGAGTCGGGTTAGCCCTGTGGTTCGTATCAGTCCTGTACTATGAGCACGTTCGTTTTCCTGGTTTTGCTTTGAACACAAGGACAGAGAATGCATTTTTTTGGTGTGTGTAGTTAAGTACAGTTTAAGGGCTATTATTTATTCAGAGATTATATACTCCTAATGTTTTCTTGTTAGAATGTCCTTTCTCTTAGGAAAAGATGGTGATAGCAGATGGTACATAATGCCTTAACTTATGAAAACAAAACATTGGCGATCCAATGGTAGACCCCAGAGTTTGTTCTGAAATTTCATGGTCGGCGAAGTGCGCAAATCTGAGACTCTGGATGAGATGTTTTTGAAGGTTATCTCCGATAACCATGTTCTGCAAGGGCTGGTTTTTCCCCACGGAGCTTGGTGATGCTGGTTTCAGGCCTTGTCAGAAGCAGACGGTTGGCATTGACTCCACTCCGCCCTGGGCCCGGCAGCAGCTGAGAGGGGAGGACCAGCAGCACGTAGAGTCCTCCACCCTGAGACCCTCAGTGCCCTCAGGCCTTGGCAGCTCTTGAGTTTTCAGTCTTTGGTCAGAGCCCAGCCGTGGAGCCAAGAGGAAGAAAGCGGGGCTGGGGGCTGCCCTGCCCGCCCCACCTGCCTGCCAGGCTGGGCGGTGGGTCAGGGAGCGCTGGCTTGGGAGGGTGAGCTGGCTGCCCGCCAGGCCTGGGTCCAGCCCATCCTTCCTGCCTTTCTCTTTCTCCCTGGGCTGAGCTCACTAGACCGGAGGCTGCACAAGGACCAGCACGTGCTGTGAGCTGACCAGCTGCTTGACCCTGGTCTATATGACTTAAAAAATGATTGACTAATGGATTAATGAAATCACCAACCCCCTAATCCCTTAGCTGTTGAGTGATTGATCCACCAATTGCCTGGCAATGGGTGTCTGCTGCTACTAACACCCTAGGGGTCCTGTCTCCTTCCTCTGAGGACACTGGTAGTGGGGGAGCAGAGGGTCTTATAGGGGTAGTTGAGGCACATACCATCCAGAGCAACCTGTTCACCTTACAGATGTGGAAACTGATGCCTGGTGAGTCGCACAGGGCCACTTTGCTCAGGAGAGAAAGAATAGCGATGCCTTTTCTGATGTGTTTGAGTTACAAGGAGCTTCAGCTCAACAGACACGTATTAAACACCGAACGCGGGCCAAGAGTCATGTGAGGTGTGGGCTCTTCATCCCTTTTTGTTCTCTGGTTTCCAGCCCCATTTTATAGATGAAGAAACCGAGGAATAGGGAGGTCAGTAGCCTGTCTGTCATCACTGGCCTGTGCTGGTGGAGCCAGGATCCTTCTCTCCAGCCCAAGTGCAAGGCTTCCTTCTCCCACGTGTCTTCTGGAAGACGGGCACTGAGAGCACACGTGTCCCTGGCAGTGTGCCTGGGGCGGTGGGGTGCACCACCTCCCAGCTCTCTGCCCCTCCCCGGAGGGGTGAGGGAGGGAGGGGGCTGATTATCCTCTGCGCCCCGCCCCCCCGCCCCCACACAGCTTTTGCTTGGCGGCTACGGCTGCCTCGTGGCTGCTGCGCTCTGCCTTCTCTCTCTGTCCTCAGGGAGGCACACCCTCTGTGTGTTGTGTCTTCAGACCTTTCAGGAGGGAGAACCAGGTTGTATCTATGCATCAGGCCCCCGGGCTCAGGTGCCCAGCCCGAAACTTTTGCTGAAGGAAAGCCCCAGGATGGGGCTGTGGGCGTAGTGGGCCCCTGGAGGCTTCTCTGAGGGGACCGATACTTGGCAGGGACCCTGGGCAGGACAACCTATGGTGCGGGAAGGAGAGCCCTACTATGTGATATGGGACCGTGGAGGAATAAAATCAACCCTGACCTTCAGTTCCGGCCATTTGCAGGAGACTGACCCACGAAGAAGGTGAGGTACTTAAACCAAGGGCCATAACGGAGACACAGGTACAGGGACACAGAGGGGACCTGACCACTCCTGCTCACAGAGCTGGCAGCAGAGTGTTCTGGGACAGCTTCCCACAGGAGTTTAGGGACAAGTAGGCGGTAACTATCCAGAGAATGGAGGTGACGTTTCAGCATAGACGACATGTCGTGCCACCTTCGCATGTACAAGGGGTGCCCGGTAGATTGAAATAAGCCCCAGCAAAGAGCTGTGACAGCATCCAGTCCAGCACCCTTGACCTTGAGCAGCATCAGAATCCCCCAAGGGTGTGTTGAAATGCGGATGCTGATGCCCGGGCCCTCCCCAGAGCTCCTGATTCAGAAGGTCTTGAATGGAGTCAGAATTTGCGTTTCTAGCAAGTTCCCAGATGTCGACACCGTTGGTCCAGGGACCATCCTGTGATCACCACTGTTCTGGTCCAACCCCTCGTTTTGTGGGAAGAGAAACCGAGACCCAGAGAACAGAAGCAACGTGTCCAAGTCACCTCTGAGCGTGAGCAGAGAAACGCCTGGCACCCAGGCCTCCAGACAGGCTCCCAACTCAGCACCGTCCACTGTGTTACGAGGCTCCCTAGACAAATGCCACCACCTTGCGATCAGAAGAAAGCCTTTGGAGGCCAGTGGGGCGTTGGGCAACAGCATGCACTACCTGCTGGCCTGGGAGGGCCACCTTCCAAGTGTCCCCAGGGCTGCCCAGCCCCTCTGCCTGGCCGGAAGCTTGTGATGGGTACGCTGCCAGCCTGGCTTCCCCAGTGACCCAGTGTGGCCCTGGAACCAGCCCAGCTGGGCAGCAGTTCCAGACGTTGGCAGAGTGGCCAGTGGAGAAGTGGGCCCGGAAGGGGCCTGAGCCAGGGTCTGTCCCGAAGCCTGCTCCTCCCTCCCGCCCTTGGGGGCAGCCAGGTTGAGCCTCTGTCAGGCTGCCCTGGCCCCGTGGCCCCATACTGGCTAGCCCCCTGACTCGGCAGATACAGAAATGGATTTTAACCCCTCGAAGCAGATGCCCCACCCAGCTCAGAGCCGAGCACAGCAGGACCAGGGAGTCATGCGGCTTTGCCCCGAATGGTAACAATATAAAGTAATATAAATGATATTAATATAAAGTGAAGAAAATGTTGGTCATATAGGCCACTGTCATCACACACGGTGTGCCAGGTGCTGTCGGCACACACGTTCCCCCCGATCTCACTGAAGGGGTACGTGGACTTTGTAGCTGTCATCACTCCCACTGTGCAGAGGCGGAAACTGAGGACAAGGTGGGGATTAAGGAACTTATCCAAATCATACAGCAGCCTGCTCTGCTCGTCTGCTCGCTGCCCCCCATCCCCGCCCCAGGCCCTGCCCACAGGTGAAGGTGTGCAGGCTGGGCCATCGTGTGCCACTGTCTCGGACCGTAGTAGGGGTTTGAAGTCCCTGGTTATATCCTTAATGTCTGTGTGGCTGGCCCAACTGAAGATTTCTTTATTTTACATAGTAATTTAAATAAATTTTAATATTACCATTGCAAAAACAACTCGTCCTCATTATAGAAAAGAAATACAAAAAAGTACATACGAAGTAAAATTCTCCTTGCTCCTCCCCCTCTCCCCCCTCCCCTCTCTCCCTCTCATCATGTGGAGAAAAAAGCGCGTCTTCCCCTCTTCCATTCGCCTCCCTGGGCGGGTAACCAGTGCCAGACTTTGTTCTGCATGCAAATATACCACACTCACACGCACACGCACACACACACGCACACACATACACACACACGCACGCGCGTACACATACACGCACACACACAAGTACACACATGCACACATACGTGCACACACGCGCGCACACATACACACACACACACGCATGAACGCACACGCACACACACACACGGACACGCACACACACACACACATGCACACACACTATTTGGATTTTTAAAGTCACACACGTGCGCAGGGCTGTCCATGTCGTACTGTAGTTGGCCTTCCCGTCCCGGAAGCCTCTGGCCCAGGGCCACACTGACCGTCGGAGCCCACGCGTCCTACAGGCCCCTCAGGAGCCCAGCCAGCACCTCGGCTTTTCGTTTCTGTGGCTCTAAAATGGCAGTGAGAAGCCTGCCCCGGCTGAGCTGTTCCAACGGAGAGAAGACGCTCCACGAACAGGCATCCGAGTGACCCCCGCTCAGAGCAGGTTGCTTTTTGGCTTACCCGGGCCCAGTCTTCCCTCATGTCAGAACCAGTGTGTCTGTGTGTGTTTTATTTTATGCCTCGGAGAGAAGGGACAGCTGGGAGCCTCATACTGGGACTGCATCACCGATAGCCCCGGATGTGGGCCCCCCAGCGACCTGAGTCCCACGGGGCGGGGGCGGTGCAGGAAACCACAGTTTGCACCCCAGGCCGGGCGGTCCCGGGTGCTGTCGGCGGGCAGACTCCACTGCAGCCAGGCCTCGGAGCGTTTTCAGACACACTGACCCTGCGCTGTGCAGAGCAGGGCTTGGAGGCCGTTCAAGTGCCCAGCCCTCGGCTCCCTGGCTCCCAGCACAGAGCTCTGGGTGGGGAAGGAAGGGAGGGCCGAGAGTGCGCAGGCCCAGCACATTCCTCTGGGTGGGAGTCGGTGGGAAGGGTGCTGGAAACACCTTGTCCCTCGGGGGCCCACCGAGGGCTTTGTTTGGAAACTCCCCACGCTGGGGAAAAGCCCTCCCAGCCTTTGGATGGGCTTGGTCACCACTTCCTCTGCAGAGGGACACACCCAGGCTGGTTGCCTCGGCAGCTGGTGGGGAGGGGGTGGTGGTTACAGGGAGGCAGGCTCCTCTCTGCCTCGGCTTCCCGCGCTGAGCTATGACGGCACATCGTTGGGATGGTGGCAGCACCGTTGGGATGGTGATATGGTGGCAGAGAGCAGACAAAACAGTCCCCGTGGGCTTTAACCAGCCTCCAGATTCCAGCCAATGTCAGCTAGACCACAGATGCCCAGGCGGTCCGGATCGGGCGCTGGGGCTGGGAAGCATGTGTTACCAAGATTGCCTAATTCATGTGTAGCCCCCACTCCTCATGTAGAGGACATGAGAGGGTTAAATGACCCCACTGCCCTCCCGAAAGTGGACGTGCTATTCATTTAGTCATTTCAACAGACTCCTGCTGGCTGCCAGCCCCGAGCTGGTCCCAGGGATCCTGAGACAGCCAGCTCCTGCTGCCCTCCTGGAGTACAGTCTGGGGGAGGACACGGGGTTGGGGGCAAACACACAGGTGACTGAGCACTGGGAGCTGGGCCAGAGGAACCACAGGGAGCGGGGACCCCACTGCAGACAGGTGTTTCATTCTAGGGTCAGGACTGGCCATGTTTGAGCTGAGCTTCAGGAGGAAAAGGAAAAGGAAGAGAAAAGGGGTGTGTGTGTGTGTGCATGTGCGTGTGTGTGCGTGCGTGCGTGTGCGTGCGTGCGTGTGTGTGCGTGTGTGTGTGCGCGTGCACACGCATGTGTGTTTGGGCAGGCGTGTGTGTGTGCATGTGTGTGTGTGTGTGCGCGCACACACGCACGTGTGTTGGGGCAACAGTTCAGAGGAAAATGAGTGGATCATGGAAGGCTGGAGCATGCGAGGCAGGGGAGATTGGTTCCCACCCCACCCCCACAGAGACAGGGAGTTGGGGGGAGGGCACATTCATAAGGCAAGCCAAGGGCCTTGCAGGCTGTGCTGAGGGTTTGTATTTTATTCTGAGACCCAAGAGCAGGCATTAATGGAACACGAAGGGGAAGAGGAAATCGCATTTGCATTTTAGGGCCACGCTTCTGACCACAGGGCAGAGAGTAGGTTGAGCAGGCACAAGGCCAGAGGCAGGGAGACCTGTCTGTAGGCGGCTGCAGTAATTCTCTGCCGCAGAGAAAAAATGGAGGTATATTCAACACGTGTTTATCATCTCACAGTTTCCGTGAGATAGTAAAAGAGGATTCTGGACATGGCGTGGCTGGGTCTTCTGCTCGGGGTCTCATTTATCCGCAGTGGCGCGTCGGCTGGGCTGCATTCTCATCTGACGATGTGACTGAGGGAGAATCTGCTCCTGCTCTCAGCTTGTTGGCAGAACTCTTTTCCGTGAGGCTGTATGGCCCAGGAACAGGCTTCTTACTGACTGTCAGCTGGAGGCCATGCTTGGGTCCTAAAGGTGGCCTGCAGTTCCCTGCCACAGGCCCCTTCATTGGCAGCTCATTTCCTCGAGGCCAGCAGGAGAGGCTCTCTCTAGTCAGCTAAGACAGAGTCTTGTATGACAGGATGTGGTCACGGGAACGACATCCTATGTGGCATATCCCATTGGCCAGAAGCAAGCCACAGGTCCCGCCCATGGTGGAGGGGAGGGGCTGTACCCCAGGGCAGGAGATGGCAGGTCCATCTCAGAACTGCCCAGCACAGGAGACGCCTCTGTCTATTGTACACACCCTTAGTGTATGCGGAAAACTGAAAAGAGCATTTTATGTACAAACGGGTAGGTGGCCCTGTTGCTGGGCAGGGACCTAGAGCTCTCCTCCCTCCCCACACATACCCTGGGGGGTTTAGAGGTTGCACAAAGCTCTTCTCCTCATTTGTTTCTCTCCAGGCATTTACCTGAGGGCTGAAAGGCCTTATGGGAAACACGGGAGTGGTATCTGCCCAGCTCCTTCCCCCAGGCCGATCATAATTCCTGTTTTCCTCAGGACACAGTAAACGCTTGGAAGGTGAGCATGTGACATAAACCAGACCAATAGGCTCCTTCTGGGATCTGAGCAGGGGCTGGCAGGAATGAAAGTGTCTTTCTTTCCAGGGCAGCTGTGAGGACGTGCCAGGGCCCCCGGCATCACCACGGGAGGAGGGTCTGCCAGCAGCAGGGGAGAGCGAGGCCAGCACAGAGGGACAGCAGAGCAGACCTAGTGAGTGACCGAATGACTCACTGGAGCCCTGGATGTCAGCAGACTTCCTCGCTGTGAGCCTGTGAGCGGGCAAATCCACACCCCGCCCCCCGCCTCCATTTGTTAGCTTTAGCTGAGTTGGGATTTTTGACCCTTGTCAATGAAAAAGTGTCCCAGAATTAAAGCTCGTAGGTTTCCCAGTGAGTCTGCATCGCTGCAGTCAGGGCTGGGTGGGAAGCTGGGCTTGGGGCCTCCCCTGTGGGACTCCCCAAAGGCAACAGCGGGCAACGAAGCCTCCAGCGCTCGGAAAGGCTGCTGTTCTCGTGAGGAAGGCGGGTGGGGCTTGGGGCCATCCTCTGCAGCAGACTTTTCTTTTTTCCACAGATACTTTCCTTTTCTTTTTTTCCATTTCTAAGTTTTAGGGCACTGACCTTCTAAGACGCTTAAAGTCTTGCCACCGTGAAGGTTCTCAAAATTCAAATCCACACCCTAGAGCTACTCTCAGTGTGAATCGAAATGGCAAGGTGGAAAGGGGGACCCGCATTCCGCCTCTTCACCCCAGGGCCCCTCCGTCTGCCCGGAACCAGCCAGGCGGCGTCTTGTGCGCTTTCCCCTTCCTCCGCGCCTGCAGAAGCCCGGGGCCCGTCTGCACCTGTTCCCAGCGTTCCCCCGTCAGTCCCCGGACGCCCTCCGGGCATGCTCCTGGGACACCTCTGCTCCCTTCTGGGCCCACCTGCACCCCAGGAGCTAGCGTCAAGCCCGCCTCGCGGGGTCCCCTTTCTTTGCCCTAATGTTTCTGCCTCCCTGATTCCTGCCCACCCAGGTCATTGAGGGTGATCTCCTTTATTTAGTCACCTGATCATACACGTTGACCACATAGACAAAGTCCCTTCACAGCAACCCCTAGATTAGTGTAGGATTGAACACCTGGGGACGAGACCCTGGCTGACCATCACGCCCAGGGGCCGGAGCTGCTAGAGTCCTGGTAGGGAGAGGCGAGAAGGACCAGGGTCTCGGCCCTGGTGGCCACCGTTTTCAGGTGCCACTGGCCCCACCCACGCCGTCGCCCTGCTTGTGCCCTTCCTGCTGTGGCGCCTCACTCTCCTGGCTGATGTGCGTGTGGGAAGGAGGGGTCTGGAGCTGCAGGGCAGGCTCCCCGGCGCCCAGGGCTTAGAGAGGCGTGCCCTCTGTTCCTCCTGCTCGGGAGGCAGGCGAAGGACTTCTGATGGAGCCTGGGGTCTGATGGACAGGAGTCAGAACTCCTGTCCTCTGACCAGCCCTTGCCCTGTGGCCTGAGGGGCGACGCCTGGCCGCCACTTGTGCAGGCCTTCACCTGCCCAGATCGAGTAGCTGCTGCAGTTCTCAGCCCAGGGCCCTGTTTCCGCACTTCAAAGGAAGAGAAGAGAGGACCAGGCATGTTGTGTGACTCCAAAGTTCCTTCTGCCCTGCCCGCTGCCCCGAAGATAAGGCTGAGCCTGGAACGCTGTGTCCCTACGAAAAAGAATGCTTCCAGTCATACACGTCGCCTACCTGGAGCTCACTCGTCTGATCTGAGCAGCTGACCTTCAGTGTCTGCAGGTTGTCACGAGCTAGAGGGACGAGAGCCCAGCGGGGGGCTGGAGTCAGCTCACACCGGCTGACTGTGCACACCTTCTCAATTTTGTGTTCACTGATGTCATGCCATAGCTTGAAATCAGCCACGATGACGATATTTATATCACGGAAATCGGCAAACCCTAAAAATTAGCCCCACTCTCTCCCAGAGAGCTGCTTGTCCAACATTCACCAGGACACCCCTGGAGACACACAGAGGGTAAGGCTGGGATTCGGGGTGGGGTGGGGTGGGGGTTACTTATCTATTGTTGAGTAACCACACCCCACTCCACTCCCCCCACCAAAAAAAACTTAATGGCTTAAAGGATAGTGGTTTATTACCTCTCACGACTCTGCAGGTTGACGAGATGGTTCTCCTGCTCTGTGCTATGTTGGCTAAGGTCATTCTAAGGTCACTCTTGCAGCTGCCCTTCTGCCTTTCCAGCAGGAAAGCCTGACTTCCTTATAGCATGGTGGCCAGTTCCGGGGGAGCAGGGGAGCAGAGCCTGCCAGGTCCTTGAAGTCTAGGCCAATCAGATGTCCACAGTGAGACCGGAGTGACCAGTCCCTGTTTACAGATGAAGAAGCAGAGGCTCAGAAAGGTCCAGACACTCGCTCCCAGTCTCCCTGCTTCTCGGGCTGAAGCTGGCTGCCTGGTGGCCCGGGAGGCCGAGGAAGAGATTCCTGCTCCAGATGCCCTTCGATGGTGTGATTCTGGGGCACTGGGTCTCGGAAGGGGGTGGCAGTCATCTTGAGGGTCTTCCTGGCTTGAAAGAAGAGGAAGTGCTCGCGGAAGAAAGGGGAGCACTGCTTCCTGCGAGTCGGATAAGGTTTTCCCGCCTGCCTTCCTGAGGGCAGTTTGCCCGGGGAGTCACACTCACAGCACAGCAGTGAGGGGTGTGGAGGCTGGCTCAGGATCTGGGGTCCTGGCTGTGTGGGTCCCACAGGGAGCCTGAGGCCCCAGCATCCTGGCTCCACCCTCCACACCACAGGGGCCAAAGCCCCGAGAAACAGGTGTCGTGCCCCGGGAAAGCCGCTGGCCCCACCTGGTACCTTCAGATGGGAAGTTGGGTTGTGGGTCTCTAAGTGCCGTCCACCTCCACACCAGGTGTTCCGGCCACGTACCAGTGCCCACCCACATGGGGCCCAGGCTGGGCTCCCGGAGAGTCTCTCGGGGCTTTTTCCCTGGACCCTGGATAATCCTTCTCCTTCTCAAAAGTATGGTCTCCAGTGATGCAAGGGTGTTATTGGGCGCTCGCCCTGTGCTGGGCACCGAGGACAGGAGGGTAGATGGGACATGCCGTGAGGAGAGACGCCGTGTAAACACATATCACGACGTAAGAGGATGCGTGTGGAGGGAGTGTAAATTTGTACAACTTTCTAGAAAAGTCATTTGGCAATATGTATCAGGGAACACACAGTGTTTCTATCTTTTGAGCCAATCATTCCACTACCGGGAATCTAATTTAAGGGACTCATCAGAAGCAAGGGAGAATAAAGTACTTCTTGCAGCATTAATTAGGACTTGAAAATAACCTAAATATTCAATGGCGGAGAACTGGTTAATTGGACCATGTCACAGACATGGAATGAAATATTTCACAGCTGTCAGAAATTGATGTTATAAAAAATTTTCAGAAACTGATTTTTAAAATGACATTAACTGATAAATGCAAAACAAATTTGAGGAGATAGAGTTGAGCTCCATTTAGGAGGGAAAGAAAAGGAAAAGCAAAGAGAAGAAATTTACCAGAGCATCAGCAGTGGTCACATTTGGGTAATGGGTAGATTTATGGGTGATTTAAAAAACTACTTTTCTAACATATGAACCATATATATTTTTAAATTTAATCTTATTCGTTTCCCAGTTTTATTGAGTTGTAATTGACATCCAACCATCTTTAGAGCTCAATTCAAAAGGAATCGCCTCCATGAAGCCTTCCAGAATTCCCCAGGCAGAAATGATCTCTCACCCTCTGACCGCTGTCATGGCGTCCGCCATCTGTGCTGGGCTCCTGTCTGTCTCCACCCAGGCTGAACACCTCAGGGATGCTGTAGCCCACGTCTCTGGGTCCCAGGGCCTGGCTCCAGGCCCGTCCATGCTGTGCACCTACTGGCATCTTGATCTCTTCGGGTTCTGGCTGTCTCTTATGCCCGTGGTTCTCTCTTTTGCTTCCTTTTTAATGTTAACTTTTTTTTTTTTATTCATAGTAACTATACCATCTATCATGGGAAAATACGGAATGACCAAAGGGTCCCCCTCTCTGCTCCATGGATTTCATCGGCTACCTTGGTTATGGTTCATGTTTTCCTGCTCTATCGCACGTCTAATCGTTTTTGGTTAGATGCTGAACATTGTCGAGAGTCTGAATTTTGCTGTCTTCTTTAAAGACTGAGTTTTGTTTTGGCATCTAGTTACATTTTTTGCACATCAGTTTTATCCTGTCAAGACTTGTTTTCAGGCTTTGTTTGCATGAATCCAGAGCAGCCCTTACGCCCAGGGCTTCTGTCTAATTCCTCACCAGTTCATCTACATATACTTCCTGCTCTGTGCTACGCGGATGATCCCCAGAATGTCCCATGCTCGTCCCCTCGTCCCAGAACACTGACCACTCCCCCCACCACATACGCACTCCTGCTCATCCTTCAGCTTCCATTAGATGCCCCGGAAGTCTTTCCTGGCTCGTCTGTGTGCTCCCGTGACTCTCCACGGCCCCTGTAATGACTCATTTGTGCCCCCCAGAGACTGAGGAGTCAGCGAGGACAAGTTCCACCACCTTGGTCCCTGCTACATCTTATTCCTATGCCCAGGTCCTGGTAGAAAGGTGTCGGAGAAAGGCGTGAAGCAGCACATACACACACACACTCATGCACACACACTCATGCACACACACTCATGCACACACACTTATGCACAGATGCAGCCTTCAGATGGCCACGCCCCAAGTGCCTCGGGTACTGCGCAGTGCTTTGTGGCCTCTACCTGAGGATCCCTATTTCAGGCGCAACCCCGTGAGGAACAGCCCAGGGCTCCAGGGTCCCTGTGTCCTCAGCCCCTCCCACGCTCCCTCCTCTTGGTCCTGGCAGCTGCTGGGAATGCGAGGTGAACCCTTCAGTGTGGCATCTGCCTGAGCAGAGGCCCGGGCACAGATGGAAATGCAGAGAAACACTGTGAGTTTTCTCTTTCGGTTCTTCTAGGAATTCGGAGCCACGTTCCCAGTAGGCTACCGGCTCTGAGCCACCTCTCTTGGGGCCCCTTCTCTGTGTGCCCCATCCCCCCTCAGCACTTCGTCTGCGTCTGGATTCCGACCACAGTCTTCCCGACGGGCCCTGCCTCCTGCCTCACTGTCTCCGACTCCTTGTCCGGCTGTAGCCAGAGTCATCTCTCTACGTCCCAACGCGGGCCTAGAATTTCCTGCTCTAAGTCCCTCCGCGGCTCGGGAGCAGGTAGCCCCTGCATTCACACCTGGGCCCTGCTGCACCCAGCCTGTGTCATCATGGCCTGATGGGAGGAGGACAGATGCCACTCTGTATGTTGGGGATGGAATCAGGGGGTGCGAGGGACCCTTGGGGGAGCCTAGCGGGGGCTGGGAGGGGGTCGAGGGAACCGA